AAAAAAAAAGAGTTCTGCTGACTTTTGGATGTCTTTTAACCTTCAAAAGTGTTCTTGAAAGAAACAAAAGATAGTCAGAAAGCTAGCAAGCAGTCTGTGTGTGTACCAGTCCTTCATGAGTAAGTCAACCAAATCAAGAGTTAGTTAAGAATTTAACTGGGACCATTAGTATATTCCACTCATTTCCTGGCCATTTTCAGCAGTCCTGTGCATTGAGCCAAAATACAATTTTGTAGCATTAGTTAGTACGGAAACTTTAACAATTATGTTTGTTATTACTGCCCAATTGCATTCTCCTCCCATCCTTTTTCCATTTCTACTGTATTCTCACTTCAATTCTGGCATTATTTCTATGCCATTTGTTGTTGCCCTCATCTAAAAGTACCTTAAGATTATATTGAAAGTGGAAATAGCAGTGTAAATAATTTTAATGGAGCTTATGATGGGTGCTTCAAAATATGTTTTACACCATTTTACAAGTTTTGATGAGGGCCACATAAGTTTTCTAAGACCACCTGAATTTTCCTCTCTTTGAGATCTAACTTCTTGACTTATCTAATGTTTATAAAATAAAAGCCCAATAAAAGTTCCATGTATTATCTCTGCTATTCTTCAGTGTGAATAGTGATGTGTTACTCTCTTTAGAAAGATCAAGAAGGCACTGATGTTGATTTTATTTTATACTCTCAGTGTTTTTTCATTCCCTTAAATATTCTATTCCCTGAATTCAGTAGGCACAAGCATTTAAAGCTGCCATTGGCAGCATTCTGATAGGGTTGTCAGTCTTAAACAGCTTATTTGGTTTTTGCTTTTTAGTGGCTTTTGAAGTCTAATTTTAGGATAGATATGTTCAGATGTGTTCTAGACACTGTATTTTGCTAAATGTTCTAATTTGTAGATTGTCTATTGTTTTTGAGTAATGCTCAACTGATGTGACAAAACTTTTATTGTCTCACCATAAAGCCTTGATGATTAACAGGGAAAACAGATATTGTAAAGCTTAAAAAATACAAAATAAAGTAACCAAGTTTAAATAATTTAAAAAAGAAAGAAAGTAAGGAGAAGAAAAAAGCTTCCATAGAGATTAAGACCAGAAAAGGAAACTAGATGTTGATACATTGGTTTTAAACTGCGAGGAGAAATTTGGTCTCTTGAATTCCAAATCTCTGAATTTAAGGTTTTGTGACTAAATCCTTACATTATTACAGATGACATAATATAAAACATAACTAGTTCTATAGTCTTTTTTTCGGGGGGGGGACGGTCGTGGGGCCTGAACTCTGGGCCTGGGCGCTGTCCCTCAGCTCTTCAGCTCAAGGCTAGCCCTCTACCACTTGAGCCGCAGTGCCACTTCCAGCTTTTTTCTTTTTGCTTATGTGGTGCTTGGGAATCGAACCCAGGGCCTCATGCATTGCAAGGCAAGCGCTCTACCACTGAGCCACCTTCCCAGCCCAATATAAAACATAACTAAAAATACAAACATCTCAATAGAGTGATAAATTCATGGACAGATAATCCACAAAGTGAACTACAAATCCTTAATAAATATGAAAGATTTTCAAATACTCTGATCATCAAGGAAGTAAAAGATAATTATTAACGTGATCATAATGGTCAAATTTAAAATGATCAATAGTGATGAATATAAGAGAAGTCAGTGCTTTCACAGACTATCAATAGATCAATGGCATGTTAACTGATTTGGAGTTTTTGAAGAATCATTTGAAAGTCCTTATCTGTAGCTGAGCACCTGAGTTTCATGCCTATCATCCTAACTACTCAGGAGGCTGAGATCTGGAAAATTGGGATTTGAGACCAGCCTATGCAGAAGTGCCATCAAGACCAAATAACCAGAAAAAGGTAGGTCTAGAGAGACAGCTCAAGTGGTAGCAGGCTAGCAACCACATGGCCCTAAGTTCAAACCCCACTACCAATTTTAAAAATTCTAATGAATGTTATTGGGCATAAAGAAACTGAACTTGAGTCAAATGTGTCATTCCTCCAATCCTAGTAATCCTAGCTACTCGGGAGGCTGAGAATGGGAGAACCATGAAGTGAGGCTAGCTCAGGCAGAAAAGTTTATGAGACTCTTTCTTAACCATAGCTGGGTGTGGAGGCACACTTCTGGCCTCCTAAACTACATGAAAGGCTGAGGTTTGAAAGATTAGTTTGAAGCCAAGCAGGATATTGCAAAAGATCTTTCTCAACTCACAGCTAGGCACAGGGGCAACCACCTGTCATCCTAAACTTTGTGGAAAGCTAAAATCAAGAGAATGGGTCCAGGCCAACTTAGAAAATTGTGAGACTCTCTCAGTGGAGGGAAACTAGATGAGATAATGCCTTCCTGTCATCTCAGAAACAAGGTGAAACCTAAAACAAGTGCATTGAGGTCCAGGCATATGCTTGGGCAGGAAGTGAGACCCCATCTCAAAAATAACCTGCAAAGCCGGCGCCCGGGGCTCATGCCTGTAATCCTAGCTACTCAGGAGGCTGAGATCTGAGGATCGTGGTTCAAAGCCAGCCTAGGCAGGAAAGTCTGTGAAACTCTTATCTCCAATAAACCACTAGAAAACTGGAAGTGGCACTGTGGCTCAAGTGGTAGAGTGCTAGCCTTGAGCTGAAGAGTTGAGGGACAGTGCTCAGGCCCAGAGTTCAAGCCCCACAACTGACCAAAAAAAAGGGGGGGCTAGAGGTGTGCCTCAGTGGTTTGGGTACCACCTGGTAAGACAGACCTTGAGCTCAAACTCCAGTTCTGCACACACACACACACACACACTGAACTTGGTATCAAGGAAGTGGCAATTTCCCTTTTTTGTTCCATATTGTTCTTCACCCTTAGGGGAAACTAGGCTAACTATGGACCTTTTCTGGTCACAGTGATATACCAAAGTCATCTCTAACATCTGATCTCTAAACTTTCACTCAGTTTAAAATTTTTCTGCTCCATACTACTCTGTCTCAATTGAGACTTA